TACTATATATTCAGGATATTCAAACCCAAACCTATGGCTATCTCCAGCCTTCTAACCACATCCGAAAATAACATTAGGGTCTGACAAAACATCATAACATAATGAACAATACAGAATACTGAAAAACAGGAATATCAAAAACTCTGAGTTCAACATGATGATGATATTAAAATCGCAAATTAAGATCTATGGAACTCAGTGACGTAAAGTGGAACTTCCCTGTCTTGTTAATGATGTAAAACATTAGTCGAGTACAAATTCACTGATAAAGCTTCCTACTTGCATATGTAATAAAACGTTTATTTTTGCAATTGTTTAACTTAAGGCTCCAATGTCTGGGTGCTTATCATTAATATGAAGTCATATCTTGTGCTAGGGATGACAGACACCCTAACAAATATGTAGCGACTTAACAGCAAATCCAATTACAAATATTTGTGATCTTTAATCCACTTGTGAGGTTGAAGGCCAAAGATTTTAATGATACCCGAAAGTCTGCAAGACATAACTTTTGTGGTAGAACTCATCATAATGAGTAATAAATAATAGTAATAAAATGTGAGCAATATTTAATATATCCCAAAAAATTATAATGGTGTTACAATTTTCAGATTTTAAGGCGCAGAAATGTGTTTGAGTGTGCCTTCTAAAAGTTGTACATGTATTATAACACAAATATTTCATTCTATGTTTAGGCAGTAGGTGTTGCACTTCCAAGGAGCTTCGCGGGAGAGTATGGCCCTCGGTTTATACAGTAGACTAGTATACACCCTAGAAAAATCATTCGAAGACAAATAATGCCATTTATGGAATTTATTTCCATAATATCAATCTCCTCTCAATTTTTACCCTGGTTGAGGCAAGGCCATATTTAATACCCAGGCCTTAGTATTTGTGTACCAAACGAAACGACACGACATCGTAGGCTTTGGATTGTACTCATTACAAAGTAGTAGCTTAAGGGGTTAGTTTTCTCAGACCTTAAGGCACCTTTTTCAGCACCATTTTGTTTACCTAATTTCATTGTTATCCGCTCACATCGTAAGCAACATAATTGATTAACTTAAAAGTATGATATGAAAATGAGGGCTAATACGAACAGAAAAACAGGTAAATGGTACTTGAAGTGGCGATTGTGTTTTCTGCTTATCAGTGTCACCCAGCTCTATATTGGGATATAAGGTCACATGATTATGCATATGAGAAGACTCCATTGGTTTCCCAGCAGATCAAAACAGATGCAGACAATCTTCGTTTTGAACTGTTGTTTCTGAATGTTCAGTGGCCAAAATTCACTAAACTATCGAAAATATGTTACGTTATAGATTGTTTTTACGTACCAATTACTAAAATGTGCTGAGATACTCAGCTCTGGACTTACTTACTGCGAAAGCTATGTGGATTTTGATATAGTCTAATAGCTTTCCCACAGCGCACTTGGGTAGCTGAATAATAGTGACCCTTGAAACACGAATTGAGTCGATCAGCGTCGATCAGTGGCTTACTTTTGGTCTCTAACTGTGTCTTCCGTCGGTATCATCAATCCGTGCAAGTATTGGAACACTGAAATACTTCTTTTTCGATCAAGACTTGTAAATTGTTCGTCGAGTGGATGTTTTTTTCGACCCATTTCCAATATGGCGGTCTGCTCAGTCGGAGCGAGATACGCAACGAACGAAATGAATTTTGAGAATGAGTTAGGTTCAGACAACCTCCGGAGATTTACAAAAATGTCCGAGCAGAAAACACCATATTGGAATTGGGCAGAAAAAAACTTTCACTCGACTAACAATTACAAGTCTTGGTCGAAAAAGGAAGTACTTCAGCGCTCCAATACTTGCACGGAAGGATGAAAATGATGTATGACATAGTTAAGGAACAAAGGTAAGCCGCTGATCGGCGCAGATCGACTCAATTCGTGTTTCAAAGGTCACTATTATTCAGCTGTCCATGTCCCCGTTCGAGAGCCATAAGTTTCAAAATCTAACATGGCTCTCGAAGTGAGTAACTCTGGACATCATGTCAAAAGAGGAGTGATGCAGTTAATCCGAAAACATTTAAACTTAGCTCACCCCTATAATTTCATTGGTCGGTACAACAGTATACGGTAAAAGGCTGAACGCCAATACATTGAAATTGTGAACGAGGCATTCCAGGTATTACGTTCGGCCTTGGTTGACGTCAATTTTTATCTATATCCGCCATCCATCTGTATCATCTTGCCTTGTCTACATCTTGTTTCTGTATATTTTAGAAGACACTTTTATGATATAACTCAAAACATCATAAACAGACAATTTAGACTGAATAAAAAATAAATATATTAATGAAAGTTATCAACAGTAAAAGTTATTTAGTATTCTTTTGTACTATGTTTGACCCTGAGATTTAACATTTGAAGATGAATTTTTTACAAAGTCAAGCAATAAATTATGGTTTTAATAAGTTCATAAAATAATTTTGAGTAAATAAGGCTACATTGTAACAAATGCCACCATCTGGTTGCGGTTGCAGAATTAGAGTCGATCCATTGCCATGGTAACATATACTGCCTATAATGACATCCTAACAAGTGATCACTCTGATTTCAAAAATATATACTGTATGATCATTTCTTCTTAAATTAAAACAATTGAAAAAAATGTTACAGCTACCTTATTTTGTTGCCATAGTAATGAATACAGCCTAAAATACCTTTACAGCATGTTTTCCAAGTGTCAATTGGATGAATTTTTAGTCAATCTGCCTATTTCTTCTCTAGCTTATACCAGACTACAAAATGTTATAACTAAACACAGTACACATTAAGGAGGTCCTGACAATATAAGAAGCATTCATTTCAGATAACATTGAAACGTTAAAATATAGTTTAGTTATTGTTCCATTGAATATATCAGAAAAATAAGCAATGCCATACAAAATGTATAATAAATAGGGCATTATATGAGATCATGCTTATCTTCAGAGAGTTGTTTTGGAAAACTCATCTCCTAATAACTCATATCCTAAAGTTGTTTTTAGTTGGAAAATATTCAACTAACTAACGAGTTGCTGCCTTTTTCTCATAGCCAAAACTAATATTTAGATGCTTTTCAATTGTCACTGTCATTACTCAAAAATGGGTTTGTGGACAATATAAACTAATTTTGGAATGATTTATGTATTTTCTGCAATGCCAATTTATGGCCACTCTGAGTTTTATAAGTCATTCCAAATTAGGATACATACTTTCCCAAAAGCAAGAAAGTGAAATGTTCATTCAGTTAAAAAAGAACTAAAACATAGATAGTGGTTCTTCAGATTTCCCTGTATGGTGTAGACAGTGCCCTTTATATGTTACCACCTGCCATTTGTTACAAAACCTACTGCCAAATGCTGAACACCGTCCAGAAAATGTTGGAGACTATAACATTATGTCAGCACTTCTGGTGGTGACATAAAAATGCTTAATAATATTATTGTGTCACATAACTTTTCAATTAGGTATGAGGATATGTGTATTACAACTCGTATCCTGTCAACACAAAATCAACTCAATGTAAACAATTAATGACATGTACCCACTGAGAGATTTTCTAAAACCTGATAGAAACCTTTAAAATTTAAAATGAGCTTATTTTTGTCATCTTTCAATATTTCTCCAAAATATTGATATAATAACTACATATTAATGTTGTATTTCCAGATAAATATAAGTATAAAAGGTATATTTTATCAGATTTAGGTTTGCCTCGGTAAGGATGAGGTAATTTCTCACCAGCAGAACTAGGTGACATGCTGGAGGTTTGACAACAATGTCTCCACATAGCTCCCAATGATCAGTGATCATTATTGTTATCTTTGGAAGAAAACTGATTTGAACTGATTTTCTGAATTATGCTGGAAAAGTACATTTTGCTTGGTTTCTTAATAACAATTTAAAAATGAATGTCAAGTAATAGGCGTTAGAATATAATGGGGAAACTGTAAGTTATCCAAAAAGGTTTCAATAAAACTTTTTAACAAATATCATAATGCTAAATTTCCAAATGAATTTCAAGAATTAATAACAAAACAAGAATTTGTCTGTGCACGGTAGTTTTATGTGGCTGACTAAATTAATCTAAACACAATAAATATTCAAACTTTAAACTACATTTCACTCTTGTGAGCATGTGCTGTATGTATATCATAGTTTATGATGATCATATGAAATCTGTCCAGTAAACATGTTATATTAGTAAACATGTTATTTTCGTAAACATGTTATTTTTACTAAATAACTTTTCTAATTCACTTACTCATAATTCATGATGTAGAGATCTAGAATTGTTAAAAGAATTGTCTAGCGTAAAAAACAATGTTTTACAGCCATAAATGAAAAAGTAAAAATTGGAAACTAAAACAACAATTACATTGCATATAAAGTGGAAAGAGAAGTGCATGTTAGTAACTCATATTTGATGTCCAGTATAACCTGTAAAAATTAACAGTATTGTTCAATGTAACACTTTTCCCAAAAGGCGGGATACCATGCATGGGGCTTCCTGATATCTCGTTTCTTAACCCTGTTGCTTTCTTGCATCTTGCTTCCTATTTTATGACCCAATTGCTTTTATTCCAATAACATAGTGTTTGGTTTCAACAAGTTTTACTGTAAATGTATTAGTAGAGGCCTTATCTAATGAGATGCTGCCAACATATCAATTAATGCAAGTGCATGTTTTTGTAATGAATAATGATAATGACCTTATCATTGTTTCAGTTCTAAATAAAAGATGCATTGCAATATATATAACCATAGATAAAACCATAGACACTTGTAAAACTGAGTAAAATAAGACAAGGCATTAACATGTAAAATGTCACCACTTGCCATTTGTTATAGATGCCTAAAGCCGAGTGCTCAACAAAAACAAATTCCAAATAGTGTCCTTAAAAGACCATAACAATATGTCACCACTTGTAATATTGACAAAAAAACAACCAGTAAACAGAAAACAAATTTTGCTCCCTTAGTTAAAAACTGAGCAATCATAACTTCAAAACATAACTGATAAAATGTCAATTTTTTCCAAATTAAACTCTGCTTTATTTGTTGGCAGCACCTTCAAACCTGTCATGGAGATTATGTCATCGCTAGTGACATCTATAAATGATGAATAGTTCATATGGTATAAAAGCTATTCTATGTTGTATCTTGAGCTTCATGTTGTGATGTATAGATGTCAGCAGGAGAGTGAATGACTCAGGTTGAGCACTTCTATGACACTGCGCACTGTTGGGAAGCTATCTGCTACTTTTGGTAATGTGCTAACTGGAGAATTTAACCTGCAAAGAATTAGGAATATTACACAATACATGTATAGTCTATAGACAATGCAAGAGATTATCAACTGTGATTTTAGGCACTGAGTAATAAGAATCAAATCAACTTGCCTAAATTAAAAAAAAGTATATGTTTTGTTGTTCAATTGAGCTTACCTTTTAATATTAAACCATTGTTTGACGACTGTAATGAATGTATTTGGTGAGCTAGAAAGCATTGCCTCAAGGTCCAAGAGCTGAAACACAAAAATTAGATATACATGTGTGTTTGGATCCATTTTCAGAGACTAGGCTACATTGCAAAGATTCAAACTACAAAGATACTTTGTATGGACACTTATTTCATAGACAGATTGGAAATTATTTTTGCCTTACACCACATCTGTGGAAAGAAGCACATTGAACTTGAATATCGGTTAAAATTCTGTATCATTTTTAACTTCCCAAAACAGCAAAATCATGTAAGAAAGCAGTTTAAATAAGATTGTATCTTCCCGTTTTTCCATTTTGTTATTTTCCTTGTGTAATCTGGCATTGAATGTACCCCCACTATAGGATATCCAGATTCGTTTTAATGAAAATACTTGGAAAAAGAACGTGAAATAAATATATATACCATGGATGGACACCAGACACTCGTCCACATTAGTTTTAGGAAGACATTCATAGCTTTTAATACTGTTTCACAAGTTCGAATGTTTACCCATATATTTTTAAAGAATAAAAATATCTATTAGGCTCTCACATTGCTCCTATCGTTTGTATCGTATTGTGAGGTAAATATTGTTGCTCATATCGAAATTAAAGATAATGGATCGTGGGACCCCTAATATACACCCTACTGCTCTTCAATCTATATTCTTTATTCTTTAAACATATATCTGCTTTACCCGTACCTTTCCTTGTGGTAGCTTGCCAGTGATTTCCCTCCCAACAGCCATTGTTAATCCCAGCAATACAGAGTAAGCCACTGCACTTGTCCCTCTAGAGAGTGGGCTTAGGTTGTAGAAGTAGTAGGTCAGTGAGAGAATCAGATTCATTATTCCATCAGATTCCTGCAACATTATGTCAAAGCACATGTCCAATGAATGTTTAATTAAACTAGAAATCGGCAATTCCACGGAGTAGCAAATCCAAACAACCACTCCATGAATCTGTATATTATGTAACCAATGAAATTAATTTTGAACTTATTCTGATCATTTAAGAATGTTCAGGATAGGAAATTAATGTCATAGCTAGTTATGATTCAATTTGAAATCCTTACGATGCACCTTGATTCTATAGCTTTATACTGAACTACATGTATACCTATAATTCCAAATCCATCCTTATGCCATAATTTTTAGACCCTCATTTACCTTATAGAGATAGATGTACCTCATGATTTTGTGAAATTAATATGTTACATCGCAAAGTTTTCATTGGGAACAAATCCCAAATTCTTATACTCTCTAAAGTACCACTTTTTACATTATGAACTATGCGAACTTTCACATAATATACATATACATGTAGTTGTTTTTGAGTCCTGTATACCCTATATTGAAATATACTCCCATTATCCTCATAGGTTGTGTATCTGGCTAGAAGCCACAGGCAGAGGGTTTTATGCAAGACTAATGCTACTATCTATAAACTTACATTGAGTTTTCCTGAGACAGCCTTTCTACCCTCTTCCTGTAGACGATTAAAGATGTAGTCCAACTCAATGTGAAAGCTGTTGATTCGTTCTTTAGTGTTGGCAATGTTGATAGAAAACTGAGTATTCCCAGACCTTGAAAATATAAGTACAAATTAAAAATGGTAAAATATAGGTGAATAACAAGTAGACATCATGTACAATAACATACAATAACATCGGCATCTCAAGAATATTATTAATTGTCTAAACTGTATGTTGCTAATAAAGAGTCTTCTTAAGATTATCTTTAAATTTTGTTAGAATAGAATGAAATTATGAAATGATTTTTCAAGAAACCCAAATTCAAAAATCTGTCTCTTGATTTATGGTTTGAATTTTGATCACATGATCCCAGCGAGTAATGCATGAGCCAATGCGACATAATCTAGCCTCCTTAACCACTATTCCTATCTGGATATTATGTATCATTTTAGAAATCAGTTTCAGTTCATCTTTACAAAGCAGAGTGAGGCTTAGAATGAGATATTAGAGGATCTGCAAAATTTTACACCATTCCAGTCGAAATCACTTTGTTTACATGTTATTACGTCATAAAGCTGTCATGATAACAAAGTTTGGCGGCTATACAGGAATATATACCCAACCTTCAGCTCCATTGACTTCCATACAAATGCTTCGGTAGGTATGTAATACTGTCCCATATTTTGATCACAGCCTATCAGTTTCTTTAAAAGGGAGAAAGCTCAGAGTAAGATATCACAGGAATTGCCATTTTGTCTCAGACAAGAGAACAATACATTTCCTGACTTACTTTTCCCCTGTTAGTGTCAAGATGATGCCCTCTATGGCCTGGTCTCCTTTCTGCTCTTTGATCCTTTCAGGAAAGCAGGGCACCTGAATGGACACCATATAGCCCTCTTGGTTCAGATTATAGTCCTGTAGTCAAATAATACTCATTTATAGCACTTTCCATATCATATTTATAAAATTCCTGTTTTATTTAAAATAATGGATCAAGAGACCTTCTAAATGTTACATCCATGTTTTGAGCTGTATATTCAAAAACAAAAACATGTATTTTTTGTATCTAAGCTATATCAAATCAATTTTTTTAAAATGATCGTTTGCTTCCATACCTTTGAGATCTGTAGAATGTCTTCGCAAGTTTTGGCTTTCCTTATTTGGTCTTTGAATTTAGCAGAGAATGCAGTATTATCTTGATTGCGCTGTATCATGGTTTGAATGAGACTAAACACAAGGTTGAAGTAAGACCTCAACCTGAGATTCTTAGTCTGGCCCCTAAAAAAGCAAAATATAAATTTCATATCTAGTGTACTGTCATGTCATGTATTGAAGTTTTTATTTCTACATACATGGAAGGTAAAAGCAATTCCAGACAGGGATACATCAAACATGATTAAGTTATAACTTTAGTTTCAACAGAAAGTAGCCAACTAAGACAATGAAACAAAAGTAAATGCTTAAAGATGCAGTCTACCAGAAAATAATAATGATGACATTCAGCTAATTGAATCTCATGGGGCAGCAACATCATGATGAACCATGACATCTCATTTCTTCTCAGCCCTGAGATGCCATGATATAATGAGCTTGATTTGGCGATCCAGGAGAGCCCAAAATTGAGGATGTTTGAGATCTTTTATCCCAGCTCATATTTCATCTAATTGGGGTCATAAAACTTGTGTATCTGTGCCGGTGCTAATATCTCCTCTTTATTACAATGCCTATTATGTAATGTATTGACATAAGGTAAATGATCATAGCCGTAGGGACCGGGGGTTCGATGGGTTCGGACGAACCCCCAGTTGGCATTTCCCCCAAAAAAATATTTGTGGAAAATTCATTGCAATAACCAATAACTTATATTCAATTTATATGACAAGTAGATAAAAATAGTAAATTTACACTTCTCTCCAAAAGATTGGCAACCTCAGGCACGGGGTGTGATTGTTTAATTTTGGGAAGACCCCAGAGCATCATGACATTATGCAAAGAAAAAATATCAATAGTTTCACACAACTTATTTTCCAACTTAAAAGCTGCTCCATCTACAGTGAAATAAACCAACTGTCTTAATACTGATGAAAACACATTTTCTTTCAAATCTGTGCCCCTCCATTTTGTTTTATTTCAAACAAAAAAATTCTTGCTAAGTCCCCGGGGCTGACAAGTCCTCAAAAGCAAATATTAAATAATAGAAACATTTTGAAATGAGTTATTATTAAAAGCATGCACGTTCATCTCGGATATCATTTTAAGATTAAATTGTTGCTGTTTCAGTGTATTTAGTATGTACTCTATTTTGAAGAATATCAAACTTCAGTGGATCACGTTTATGTCATTAATTATAATATGTTTAAAGCAAATAAATGGATTAAGGGAGGCAATTAGGTGAGTATGCCTGTGGTACTAGATACAAGTGTAAAAGGTACACACATTACGTGCAGTGGAAAGTTCTGTCCAATAAAAAGGCCAGATGCAGTCATCTTTTGCTGAGGAAAACAAAGGTGTAAGGAGGATTATATCAAATAAGTCTAGATTTATTATTTCGAATGAGTATTACATTTTCACAGTTAAAGGAAAAACTGATCCACTGATAATCACCAACGGATTAAAAAATTCAACAAAAGAAGTAAAAAAAATTCGAAAAATTAGGAGGCATTTGGAAATGAAATCAAGTCACATTTTAATCAATATTATAAGTATTTTCCCCGCAGGTTATGTAAATAAAATTTCAAATATAAAGAGGAGGCAGGGAGCTTAGGTTGCCAAACTTTTGGAGTGGAGTGTATTTGCCAGAAAGACAGAGGATTAGCCTACCACAAATTTCAAATCGTGTGTCTAAAAAGGATTTGGCAGCATTCTTGAATAAGATAATAAAACGTTAATTTCTCAAAAACAAATCAAAGTTTATAATGATTCACAAGTTCATCTAACATGTTTTCATTTCTCAAAACGTTCATGATTCTCGTCATTAATGATAAAAACAGCGGAACGGTGATAGAATGTTTCATTCCATATGTAATACAATACTACTTGTCATCTGTCACTTCTATCGTCAGTACCAATTGAGAGTATTCGTGCAGCCATTACGACTTTTATTGTGCGCCATGATTTAATAAGTATTACATTCTTCAAAAACATTTGCTTTTGAATATACTAGTTTTCAGTAAATAACTGTAAGTTCATGATGTATTACAAAATGAAATATCAAATAAATAGAGATTATCCTATATGAGGTTCAGGATATTGGGATTACCCCGAGGCCAATATAATATATTTGCCCGAGGGCCGCAGGTCCCGAGGGAAAATATATTATATTGACCAAGGGATAATCCCAATATCCTGAACCGACTATAGGATAATGTGTTTATCCCATACCAATCTTGGTCATCTGGTTCACATTGTTCAATCGTGGAAATATATTAGAATATTCATGTCCAGTTTTGTTTTCTTGGCCGTGGGCGGATTTTTCTGTTCTCTCAAATATTTCCACATCTATTTTCTCGAATTTTTTAAGTGGATGCTCCTTCCCTTTTTTAAACCATCAAACAGATCCCGATTGTCTGTGTTTTCTCCACTGTCGTTTACAGTCATTACGCGAACGTTACAAATTATGAACAAATATACGAGCGGCGATTATGACGTAGCGGGCAGATATACTATATCTGCCCGCTCGGAGCGGGACGTAAAGCTATATCTGCCCGCTGATGAAAATATAAGTTTTTACAAACCGGCTTTATGTACCTGTAACACGTCCAAGTATGGGATAAAATTCTTTTGATTTGGATTCTTTTCAAAATTCATCTAAAAGATTTGGGAAAATAGCATGTGTCAGAATTTGACATATCTTTGAATGAACTCTAAAGCATGAATTGGGAATGACGATTTATCAAGGGTAGCTCCAATAGACCCAATAAACCGATGGTGACATTTGAAGACTCAGCAAACTACGAATAAGACGGATGTTCATGAAGTTACAGTTACTGTAATTAGTGAACCAAAATACACTTATAATTTGAATTTGAGACTTATCGAAATGTGGACAATGAGACCAAATCAATTTATTTTGGTTTTAATAGTGATCGCATCTGTTAACCTTGTATTTCTTTGGCAATTGCTAAAGAGCACAGGGATTAAAGATGTAATACAGCAGAGTAAGGACATCTCGGCAATAATTAAAGCTAAAAGGATAGTTTGAGATGAGACTTGTGATGCCATGCTGAACATTATTACCACATTCCCCGTATTGCAATCTATGCGCGAAATAAAATCTCATGGATTTGCTAACATTTCTTTAAAACATTTTCAAAATCGCCAAATGGAATTCGTCCAATCGCTCTCCTCTAATATAAAACATCCCTGTGTGGAAAGGATCCATCTGCTCGTGGAAAACATGAACGTTGAGGGATACATTAAAACATTGGATACAAAATATTTCCTTGTGTCGGAGGTTGAAACCATGGTTCGTTTTTACAAACTGTCAAACTTCCCCACCTATAGGGATTATGCCCAGTATGCAAATGAAAATCTGATGTTTAAGAATATTGCTATAATGAACGCTGATATATCACTCAGGGATGGATTCAACAGGATTAAAGATAGATTCTTAGTCGAACGCCGGGTCGCTTATTCTTTAACTAGACACTCGTCCTTATTCACCAAATGTCCATCAAACCCAAACTTTTGCAGGCAGAAATATATGGGCTCCCATGACGTCCATATTTTTTACATGGATGCACCTTTCGACAAATGGAGCTTACATTTTTTGACGTCCCCTATAAATAGACTAGGGGCCGAAAATTTGTTTATGCATGTAGTTGCTAAAAGGTTAAACAAGACTGTACTGAACCCATGTTCAATTTTAAAAACCCACCATAATCACTGCTCTGGACTGCGTGCGGCAGATAGTACCACTGACAAAAAGCGAATCAATTGGGGGAAGAATTATACATATTCCACAAAGTTTGGATATTCCCAGAGGTTATTCTGATTTCAATAAATTTCATAATGAATTTGGTGATAAAACTGTTGTATACCTTAATTCGAAGTCATGAGATGGAACTATTCACATACAACACGACGAGTTACTTGTAAGTTAATTGATAAAACCATCGGGAATTTTATTATAGTGAACTGCACTATACAACATTTACAATTCAAAAATGTACTGAAAATGTTTCAATAAACTTATAGTATCTGATTTTGATTTTGAATAAGTAGCCAAGGCCACAAATGCTATAATCGTTATTGACTTGGTATAGAGCTACATCATGAGTTTGAAGCAGGACTGGGCGATATAGTAAAAAAAAATAAATAAGTAAGTGGATATAAGAGGGCAATGAAGATCTACTTAACGTCTAAATGTATTGAGATAATGTATTCATTTAAATTAATTCAAACAATATTAAAGTATGCAAACACGTCTCATAGTAAGCATCCCGAGTAAGCATAAGAAAAGGGGAAACGAAAGAATAATCATCTGAAAAGATACGAGGGGTGATCATAAAAATAGAGAGATACTATGCATATGGTAACTTTATATTCCTCCCCCGTGCAATATTCACAAAATTTCTAAATTAAAGTAACCTTTTATACACTATTCACCCAGGCCCGTAGCCATGGGGGTTCGCAGGGTTCGGGCCCTGGCCAAAAAATTCTTTCAAAATCATGCAGTTTTTCACTATTTTGAGCACTTCTCAAGTGATTTTAGCCATATTTGGGCCAAAATTGTCAAATGTGAACCCCCCCTGGAAATTTTTGAAAATTGAACCCCTCCTTAGCAAATCCTGGCTACGGGCATGATGATTGCATGACAACAATCACACTTATTGATAGTTTTAACTCTTCCCATCTGATGTGCTCAGATCGCAGAATATGCCTCATAATATCAGAGCATGTTTCAAGTAAACAAAAAGATGCTAAGAGTATCAGAATGGGGTAGCAACATTTTCCTGCAAATAATCAGATGATTTTACAATCTTGACAATCTCATATAAATCTTTGGCAATCATTGGCAAAATGAATTGATTATACACGAATAGATGCCAGCTATGATCAAAGAAGTGTCTCTGACTTAAAGAGTGAATATGAGGCTGAACTTTTGTAAATTCATTCATCTTGATATACCTGATAAAATTGAGATCTGAGTTGTAGCCTTCCCTCTGTCTCTCCTCAGGCATGAGATCAAGCCAAAAGACAGGGTTTTCCATGTCATAAAGTCTCCTATAGGGCACTGCTATATTGTAGAGGTCACGCCAGTGGTATCTCTGATCTGGTTTAATGTGTTTACTTGTGCCCCCTCTAAAAATGGCCTGAAATATTTAGAATCAAATTTCTTTATCAATCATGCACAATAATTCATCTCAAAATATGTTTTTCATATCTGTATAATCATATGAAATGTATGGTTTGAGCCAATAGATTATTAAATGTTTGACTCGTTTTGCACTTTGTGCTCTCTCCTTGTTTTAATTCAAAATCTTTTAAAACAAATCTGCGATTATCTCATAATTACCTCCATTGACTGAGCAGTATGGATCGCTGCAAGACCAATTGCTAAATTCAACCTTTTATTAACACTGTACCCATCAGCGTTAATCTGAGATAGTTTGCCGATCTTTTCTGCCCGACATATTAAACCTTGAACATCACTTTCATATTCACTAAATTCTGGAAGTGACACATCTCTGAAAGGGAAATGGTAGAAGGAGAGGTTAATTTGTGAATTAACTTTGACAATGTAGTCCAAATTAATGTTCAAGGTCTTAATACATTTGTTAGCTATAAGTTAAAAGAATAATATGATTAATTCATGCATAAGCAGATATACCCTAAACATATTCAAAAAAGTATAACATAATTTTAGAGATCAAATAATTCTTGTTGAAATTAACCACTCACTCTATATTTGGTTGAATCCCTGGCTGTTCTGTATATTTCTGAAATTAATATATAAACTTATAGTATAATTTCGAGTGTGTTCATGTTCTTGATAGTTCTAAGCTTGGCCATTTTGTGTTTTTCTTTGGCACCCAGTCAAATTGTAAAATTCCAGGTACAATTCACACAATGAAGTATTCTCAAGAAATGCGACATTTTATCATAAATAAGCATATGGTAAAAATGAGAAAAATAATATACCAAAATATATTTGCTGCTTAATCAATTTTCAATAGTTGATCAATATAAAACAGATCAGATTAATGAAGATTCCATACCTCAAATATAAAAGGTAAAAGTTTAGCCCAGTGGTCTCTGAACTCTCCATCCAGTTGATTGTCTGGGTTAAAGTCACTTATTGAAGTATCTAGCTCTGCATGGAGATATCTGGAGTATTCTGAAACACAAATTGACAATACAGATTATTGGTTGGTTATTTCAAATTGTTTTATAGACTTGTACAACACATAGAACAACACATTCTAGATTTGTACAACACATACCGAATTCAAAATACTTTAAAAACTGAAGAATATGTGTATACAAAGTTTGACTTGATTTTTTCTTTGGGACAAATGTGACACAATAAAAATGGATTTTACAAAAAGCAATGGTATTAAAAAGTACAACTGATGAATTTTAAATTGTTGAAAATTGTCGACAAAGTTTAGTTGGTGTCCAAAATTCTCAAGAAATCTGACTCATTTTGAATGAGACTTGAGAGAGTATGGTGACATCCATATTTATATGCATAAACATCAGGACTCACCTCTGAGGTAATGTGCTTTCAGCATTTCAGGAGGTAGTTTCAACATTGGACGAGGCTTATATGCTATGAGCTGCAATTACAATAATATAATAAGAATTTGATTTATTTAAGAATAAATCAATCAAATGAATACTTAATTATTTTACAGTTTTTTTTATTTAAGAAAGATAACTTTTCCCTAAGAGAGTGCATATTCAAAATATTCACTGTTTATAAGGTCTAAGAATCATTTATTATTTTTCTCATACCAAGTGTATTTAACAGAACTGCTACTATAACCTTGATAGTGTGCATTTGAGAAATCTGTATATGAAATGTACATTTTGCATAAATTCCTTTCATACAATTATTTACAGTATTACAAAAACTGCTTAGCTTATAATGCCATAAAGGTGACTGTCAAAAATATAATAATTATCTATTTATAAAAAATGCTTCTCACCCTTGTGTGATCTTTGACAGCCTCAAAGAACTGTCCCTGGGCCATATGTGCCACACCTTGTATATATTCACATACCCTGTTGTGCTGGTCAAGTTCAAGACATTTCTGAAAGAACAATCAAATAACATTCAAAATGAGACACTAATCTTACCTGAACCTCCAAACAAACATATACTGAGTATCAATTTATATGCAATTGTCAATCAGGTTTCAGAATCTGCATACAGTTGGGAGGTTAAGTTACACATTTTTAAGAGAACCGGTACATGAGCATGTAATATTTCGAACCTGTGATTACTGTACCACTATTACAATTATTTCCGTATACCAATCGGCCAAGTAAATACTATAAATGGGAGAACTAATCCAAAGAGGACCATAATTCTATGTGTTCACATACAAGTTTTTTAAAAACAAACATGTATCTTAACATCCCTACTATATTCACATTTCCTTGTAAACCTGATTTATTCACCTGCATGTCTTGTATGGAATGTCCTGGCTGACCTAGATTCTGGTACATGGCACCACGTAACTGCCATGTCATTGCTACATTACTGTCCAGGGTCAGTGAAGTGTTGAAACTCTGTCTAGCAGACTTCTGGTTGCCTAGCTCTCTGGAAATATGGCATTTAAACAATATAAGGGTTGTTCAAAATGTTTTGCATATTTACCCATATTTGTGCAGTTCTTTTTGTAATCCCTGCCATGTAATGCTACCCAGGATTGATCTTAACTGTTAAGTTATTTCATCTAAAGCACATTTGACAAATGAGATACGCACATACTCATATACATGTTTGGGACTTTGGTTAATCAACTTGTACTAAACTGTATTAAACTATATATCTATGTTTTGTCATTGTATTGCCAGACAATTCATAGTTGAAAACAACACAATCTCCTCCCTCAAAAGCAATTCTTTACATTTGTGTACAGTTGTCCATTATTACTTCAGTACAATTAAATGTTTCTTACTTGTAAGCATGTGCCAGACTGGTGTGAACCTCTGGTGTGTCTGGCTTTAGTGCAATTGCCTCTTTGTAAGCCTCTATGGCATTCTAGAAATGTAGAAAATACTTTTACAAAGTTATTTATATTAGATATAACTTTACTCCAAAAAGTCAAGCTGATTTCGTTAATATAAGTATTTTTTTAAAATCTGAGTATGGGGTCAGTATTCAAAATCAAAGATGGCACAGAGAAGACCAATCCTGGTTTAGATCAGAATTATCAAGTGCTACAAGAATTCTGTGTTTCCGCACTGCAGCAGAAAAATGCAAAAACTTGCAAAGTATTGATTTTCTGCTTATATCCTGGAATTCATGATTTGAGAACATAAAATGAACTGAAAGTTTACCTAGCATTATTTTAGGTGCTTGTTGTAATCATTTGAATCTTTTGTAGCTCACTTTTGTAGGTGAATGTGAAACACAAAATCTGTGAAGACGACATACTTGTTTTCTATTGCTCCTGGCCAATATATCATCTCTATATTGTTACTAAATGTACACATTAGCTGGTAGTTTTATTTTGATTTTGACACCATTTTGTCAAAAAATGTTGTGAAAAATGCTGTGATGAAATGCAGAAATTTTGCAGAATTTCACAGTTTTTCAGAATCTTGTAGCGCAGAATTCTAGTAGCCCTGGTTAACTAATTTTTAACATAGGAAATAGCATGGCAACTGGTCTGTCATTTGATTATTCAATTAAAATAAGAACAATAGGTATGTAATTCTCACGATATACTCAATTATGACTACATCTTACCCTAATTTCTCCCATATTATAAAGAGCCAAGCCGAGGTAGTAAAGGGCTTGGTAATTTTTTTCCTCCACATCCAGTACACCACGAAGCTCCTTTTTGGCACCAACAAAGTCCTACAAGAAGTTTGTACATCCATATCAAAAAACATAAAAGAGAACAGGTTATATATTTACTTAATGCTGAACCACAGTCCATATGATAGACACATTTCATTTGATGTGTAAACAAAGCCAGTAAACAGCAAATTATAACGAATTATGAAATCATTGTATCTTTGAAGAATATCAAAAGCTCACCCATGTCCCAAGTTTGACAATGCCAAGTAGGAACTGTAATTTGACAGATCTTTTAATTTTCAAAGCCTTCTGAATGTCTTCAGATGCCTGAGTGTATCTGCCTGCCGCTAGGAGAACCTGCAACAAAATCAAGTGCCATAATGTCTACAAGGAGAACCTGCAATTCAATAAAGTGGTATAATGTCTACAAGCAGAACTTGCAATATAATAAAGTGGCATAATGTCTAAAAGCAGAATTTGCAATATAGTAAAGTGACATGATGTAAACAAGAAGAACCAATAAAAAATAACTTGACATACCGTCCGCATGGTTGTTGAGCATTGAGTAAGGAAGACAAAAAACGGCTAAATTATAAGTGTTGGAGATCATATCTTGTCAGTGATTCTGAATTCCTAATAAGCTAGTATTACTCTGCCTTTTTATCTTTAAGTTAAAAGATTTTAGGGTTTTGATGGCTATTAGCCTCAATGACCTAATATCAAGCTTTCATAGCCATTTATGGAAGAAAATGTTTTTACCTCTGCCCTTCGTTCATAGTTGTCTGGATCGCTGTTATTTAGTTCTATTGCTTTAGTGTAATCTGCAAGCGCCTTTCCCAGGAAGGAAACATTCTGGAAAAATGTATTGGTTGCATATTACAATAATACAGTAAAACAAGCGAACAAGGAACATTCTCTGGACTGGTCAAAATTGTTCCTTGTAGACAGGCCTTCCCTACTGAGAGGGTCCATGTTTTGGGCCAACCAATATGTGGAATAAGCATTTAATTATTGTTGATGATGAATCACTGATGTGATAGTAGAGCAATGTTGTTTAGAGCCGATAGTCAAGTTTCATCAACCTCAATTTGTTGCATTTACAATCTGCAAGTTTGGATTTTTATAAGATTTAATGAGATTTGGCTCAATTTAACAGAAATACATTTCTATTATCTCCTAAAACAGTTGTATCACTCCCTAGAATAGCTTAACTTGTCAGATGAAATCAACTTTTGTTGAAAGAAAGCATTAATGTCAATTGGAAATTTGTAACACACAGATTAATTTGTAAAAAAAATATTGGGGTAATTAGCAGTGGAAGGGATGTCGCAGCTTGTAAACAATCAGCTTATCCAAATCTCATTCGTATTAGTCTAAGTCTTTAGAATCACGTATTGGTTTAAGCCATTCACACCTAAGTAAATGCAATGTACACTGTAAAATACTTTTCCTTTGTAGACAGGTATTCCTTACAGAGAGGGTCTGTTAACATTTTAGTTAATGGGAAAATATTTGGTTCTTTTGAAAATTGTTCCTTGTAGACAGGGTTTCCTTACATAAAGGTGTCCCATTGGACAGTTTTTACTATACAGGCATTCACCTTTTTATCACAGTAAGGCCTGTAAAATGAGCCTCCTCAAGTGGAACACCTCAAAAGTGGAACACTATTTTGAGCTACCTAAGGTAATCCATTTACAGGTTTTACATGAATATGAGAACAACATTGCGAGTCATTTTATTTTAAAATTTGACCTGTAAAAGCATTACAAATTGACTGAGAGTGGACTTACCTCTTTTGCTTTCTTTGTGTAGGCCATGCCCCTCCCTCTATGAGCCACCGAGATGTTAAAATCCTTACCATTCTGAAATTGAAAATATGGCACTAAATTAACAATAGCAATTATGTTTTCCATGAAAAATAAATTTAGTAATGTAAAGTGTAATAAAAATATTTTTCTGAACATATGAAAACAGTATAACAAACATCAAAAGAAAGTCCACAACTCGTGGCAACCTCTATGTCCGTGTGTGGAAATGAGCACCATTGCTGTAATACTGAACATTGCATTTCGAAAAGTGTATGAATATATCAGCTGACAAGATGCTTCAGTTAAAATAGTTTCTGCATTTTATTTGAACCACGAGTTACAGCAAAGCTAATCAGTGGGATGCTGTAAAACACCTCTATTAGCAAATCATATGGACTAACCTGTATGACTGATGTAAGCTGGTCAATGGAGGCATCCACGAGACCACTAAGCAAAAGCACCATTCCATAAGCTATAACGAGTAAATAATAACACATCTAAGCGCTGGATTTAAAAATATATTTCTAAGTGATCAATTAAATTTCATGCAAATTAAGTAGTGCTCATTTCAACTTTTTTTTAAATGAACCAACTTCACATCTATCATATTCTTTTTTAAGGCATCTAACCACACTAGTCTAATCTAATTTACTTTCTTTATTTCATTTTATATAATTATTGTACAATATGGAACTGTCTTATTTTAGACGCAAATAAATGATACATACAAACATACAGTACCCATAATTTCCCACCTTTAAAAAAAAGAATATGATGGGAAATTGTGTGACTTCTATGATATTATGTATATTGTATACTGTACATATATTGTAAGTATGTTAATGTAACTGCTTTCAAAGGTTTTTTCTATGAATAAAAAAGGAATAAAAAACAACAAAAAAACTTCATACACCTATGTCAACATATTAAGACCTACAATGGATACCCAACAATACATGTTAAAGTAAAACTGTCTCATCTGAATGTCACTGGGACCAGGTTAAAGTGTTTGGATTATAAGGTGTTCCTATTTCAATTTTACATGGTAATTTATGGCAGATCAAATATTAGCAATCATGGGCGTAGCACCCAGTACGCTGGGTACGCACAGGCATACCAGATGGTTGCAAATTCGCTCCAAATACAACCAAATTTCAAAATTTTCCTGGGGGAGAACCCCCAGATCCCCCTGAATGTTCGTTTTTTGATTCACTCAACTCTTGTTCCTGTGGTGGTGGCGTACTACTTAGAAAAATAGCGCTACGCCCATGGCAATCATTTTGAGAGGTGTTCACTGTTTAGATTAGAGAGGAATTCAGATATACAGGTTTTACTGTGTATTATAATATTTAAGTCGATATAAGTGGATTGGTAACATAATTTTCAAAGATAATTAAACTACCTAAGAAAGAATAGGGGAATTAAGTCAAAATAAAATTAATTCATTGTTGATGTTCATTGTTCTTTTGATGCAACCTCTCAAGTAATAATAAAATTGAGCACATAACAACAAAATTGTTACTCAGTTCAATATTGTAATATTTTAAATAACCAAGAGGGCAATTGAGAAATTGAACACTGAGGCCCGGGCACTGAGGAAACTTGGAACAAAATAGCCTTTTATGAGAATCAAAAAATGTTTAAATACTAGATTTTCTATTGTTATTTTCAAAATGGATAAAATATTTAGTAATTTCCAAACCAATGAAACATATTTTTTTGAATTTTTATTTAAAGAAAAAAATATTAGACATGTTTTGTTGTCTTTTATTTTATTTAACAAATCCACATAATTAACTTGTAATGTAAAGAGCCTTACCAATTTTGTCATCTACTTCTTCGTCCCCTGATGCTATCACTATATGTCCTTTATCTATCAAAGACTGAGCTGCAGCCTACAATAGAATTGCTTAATGAATAATGTTAAAGGAAGTAGAAGGGATAGAGACTGTCAAAGGGTGGAATCAATCTTTTCATTAGATTTTGAAAGTCTATTGAGAATAAAGATAAGTTGGGTGTAACCTCCTGAAAATATTTTCACCATTTTTACCTTTAACAAGTCTTCATTAGCTTCACATTCAGGATTATTCTCTTGGTCACCTTGACATAGTTTGCAGAGGTCATCTCCATCTTTTTCTGCAAGTAAATTCTCAAATTTTCAGTTTGTAAGAAAGAGGAATCCTACTCAACTACATACATATTGAAGATCACTGGGTCAATGACCCTGACCTTTTAAACTCAAAATCTGACATTTTAGGTCCTTGGTCATCTGTTTGACATAATATTGAATTCATTGATTTTAAAAAAATTTCTGGCATTTCAAAAGCAAAAGTCAGTGAAAGGTCAAGTCTCAAATCTAAGGACAGACATCTGTATTCTCAAAATTTTAGTCCCAAACTTTAGAGAAACTTAGAGATAATAGCTATTGTGATGGTATGACTTAGTTTGATGCCTTTGACTTTCAAAATTTTACCTTTCCCTACAGCTTTAGGTCTTTTTTGATCCATATGACCTCAATTCTTATCTAAATAAACAATTTGAAAATTTGACCTTTCGAAGGTCAAATCTTATATTCAAGATCAGATATGAACTCCTCGTAACTCATATGTAGGTGAACCTTAACTTTTGCCGATAGGGGACAATTTTCACATCCCTCATACAGAATACTATTGGTAATGTTATAATGTAGGAAATTATCAGGCAAATAGCTACCACTTCCAAAGATTCAGGCCAGATCGTTAAATAGAGGTGTCGGCAGCTCAACAATAATTCCTCAAAATGAAACACCAAATAAAATTACAAATTCTAAAATGGCAATTGTGCATCCAATAAAGAAATATATAAGACTTATCATACCCAGCGCTTGCATTAGGTTAGAAAATTTGTGAGTCCCAAGGACGCAATTTTTCTAAAAAGGTGTGTCCTTTGAAAAAAAAGTTTATCCCTTATTTTTCAGTTTTTGATTTCTTGCCGCGAATTTAAAACGGAAGTAAACATTAAGTACGGACTGAATAAATGCATGTTCGTGCATTCGACAATGAATACATTTTATTTCATGAATAACCTAATATTTGTTTCTGAATAGGAAAAACTGTGGCGTGTCATGGTTTCAAATCTAAAAATAAACAAAGTCAAAAAAATTCGAGAGAATCATGATTATTTGTAAATATTCAACATGTTGAGCCTTATTTACGATTCAAATAAAGGTGAGAGATCATAATTATTTGTTTTTGTTAGGTATCGTTGTAAACACATTGTAGTATTGACCTAAATAAAATTTTGAGTCCAAAAAACGGAAATATTTTCAATTTTTGTGTCCTCCAAATTATTTTTGAGTCCTTAACATGTACGGGACGCCGTTAATGCAAGCCCTGCATACCTCATTCAAATAACAATATAAAATAATATTCAAAATTTAAAATATTTCTGAATCAAATTGTTTATACATGGCGGGCCGAGTGTGATGATGTCTAGCCCCGTGTCTAGCAAAGTTATTGCCAGAGACACAAGTAAGCACATACAACTTTGTAGTCTTAGGAACATCTTAAAATTTTCTAATTTGGTGTCTCATCTTGAAGAAAATTTATTGAGCTACTGATACTACTACAAAAGGATCTGGCCAGCATCTATGACTGCTATCCATTTTGGCATGAACATCAACAAATAATAATAGGATCATAGGCCCCGGGAACATGTATAAAATAGCGAGTCAAAATCTGTATTACTACTTCTTCAGTAGTAATACAGATGTCGACTCGCTATTTTATATTTGTTCCCGGGGCCTATGAATAGGATAAAGTTTGGTCTAGCTCCCATTTCAATGAGAGTGACTTTATGATAGAAGATATAGAAAACCTGTGTAATATAATGCAACTTTGTAATACAAATCTAACTTACCACACGGAATATTGGGCATACCCATGTCTGCTGCTATAGAAGGCATCAACCCAACAGAAAATGGATCTGTTGAAATTTGGGTGCCACATGTTGTACAATGTTTCTCTGGATTTGTGAGTTGTTTCATGCTAAAAGTGTGTTGACTTCCATCTTCATTAGTGACATGTACACTTGCAATGTCACAGGTTTCATCAGAATGGCAGAGATTAGCAAATAAAAGCAAAACAATGAACTTTTTCAAGTTCCACATCATAAAAGTTTCGCCAAAAGCTGACACTGGTTAGAAATTATTTACTTCCGGTTTGTAAACATGTTTCCAGTAATATTTGGACGATTTCTGTGCTCGAGGTGCATCAGCGTCCTTGATACTTGTAACAAAAACAAGTTAAGATACCTCAGTCGAAGGCAGATGCATAAAAATCCATGGGATGGTGGAGGAAACGTGTCTGAAGTGGAAATACCTTCTTCAAACTCAAAGTAATTTTTTCAGTTTCTTTTCTTTCAATTTCATGATCATGTTTTTATGTCAAATATAATATTCCTTTTGAATCATGAATGCAAGCAAAATTAAAGCCCTTTACCATGAATACAGTTATTGTTGATAGATTTTGAAAGGGGTCGCCCCATTGGTCAATGGTCCAATGGTCCGAATCCAGATGCAATGGTCAAGGTCCAAATCACATTGGTCTGAATTCCAATTGTCCGTATCACATTGGTCCAAATCCAAATATGTCCAAATCACAAAGCTCTGAATCCCATTCTTCCGAATCCCAATCATCGAATCCGAATCGTCCAAATCCCACTTAGTAATGTTTAATTTTAGATAAAGATGCAAGAAATGTGTAAACGTGGAATATAATATCACGTTGATGTGTGATTTATATTGAATAAAAGCAATTTCCAGTTTAGCCAGTGTTTATTGATATGTAAAGGCTAGAGTACCGACAATTGTCGGTACTTTAGACTCTGATGTGGTGGCACGCTAGAGGACCGACAAATAAATTGTCGGTACGGGAGATATGCTGTGTTTACACGCTAGGGGACCGACAAATATTGATTTTCGAATCTTCTGGCGCATGCGCAATGCGCGGGGGGATATTTCAGATATCATACGGATATTTTGGGAACAAGTGCAAAACCCGGGGAGGGCATTAGCCCCGGTTACCCGGGGATTACCAAACCCAGTCAAAAAATGGTAGCCCGAGAACAGGGAATGGTAGTAAACGTTGAAAACCCAATAAAAAACATGAACAAGTAAGATGTTAGAAAGCTATTAATGCAGAGTAAACGGCTATATATATTCTAAACAGACAGGATATTTCTCCTGAGCCGATCAGGCGTAGAAACGGGCGTTTGCTACCCATTAGATAGAAGAAAATAGCTAGAATGTTTTTTATTTGAAGCTTATGGTATGAGGTTCCATATCCATCCGCCCTATATAGTCCATTTAAAAACCTGTGGTATCGTTCTAAATAACCCATAGTTGGCTTCTAGGGTACCTAGTATGCCACTATTTGGTATCAAAATAAAGAGGAGTTCAACTTTCATTTGAATTACGAAAATAGCGATGTAGGTCAAAATAGTTCCGAACGTGAGCATGTTTACTACGCGTTTGCCCGTCATATCAGAATTGAGGAAGTGGTAGCAAACGCGAGTTACAATAAACGGACGCTGATATCTCAAAAAGTAACCTGACTCCCTATAATTTGATGTAGGTCAATCGAACCCCTATATGGACAGGTGCATTTTGATATATAACATTATGGGGGGTAAGCGTTTCATAGTTGGTCACGAACGCCATATGTGCAAAGTATTGTTATGAATTTTCGAATTTGGTGTTGGATTACGGTACTCATACCTTATAGCACAATTTTTGATGGAAGTTGCATTTGGCTCCCTTAGTTAATGGCCACGATTCCATCTCGCATGAGAGAGCTACCAAACGCAAAGTAAACAGTGATATATTCCAAATGAGATATTTCTCCTGTGCCATGGCATAGTAAGGGTAGAGAGCGACGGGGGCGAAAGCATCCTCTCCCCTAACTGTATATATCGACCCATAGATAGAACAAGAAAAGAGCTTTAAAATGTGTTTTAATTGAAGCTTGTAGGACAATTTTGATGGAAGTTGAATCAATTTTTGTCGAAATAAATTATGGCTCACTACAAGTTAATGCCTGTGCGATTCCATACTGCAAAAGAAGCACTATGCCCCCCCCTCAAAAGAAAAATGTAGGTCCTGCCGGGATCCGAACTCGGGACCGAGTGTGTTCGAGTCGTGCTCGCTAACCACGAGGCTACCAGTGATGAGGTTATTTGTAAAAGTAAAAGTAGTCGATTTATTATCCCAACGAACGAAGTTCGGTAGGGATATAGTGAAGCCCTCCGTCCGTCAGTCCGTCAGTCCGTCAGTCTGTCAGTCCGTCAGTCAGTCAGTCAGTCCGTCCGTCCGGAAGATAACTCAAATATTAGTTGACGGATTTTCTTCATATTTGATGGAAAGATGTTTATTGATGAATAGTTTTACGCAAAAAAAAATTTTTTCAAGATGGCCGCCGCTTTAAAAATGACGGGACTTTTTTGTAAAAATCATAAATTTTTCATTCTAAACCAAAGTAATTAATATTATTGTTTTAAATTTTGGTAGCATATTCGCAACATCTACCTATTTCACATATATTCCGTGTTTTTCATCCTGACCCCCAGGGGCCGTTTATGGGGGGTCAGGAAAACAGAAATTTTCGCTAATTTTTAGATCTTTCTGAAGTATAGCTTTATTATACTCAAATGAAAGGCAATTAAGAGTAGATTGCAAATATTGTATCTTTTTTCTGATTCGAGCCTCGTAAAATTCAAAATGGCCGTCTAATGTACAATTTCGCAATAATTATTCGATCCCTTCAAAGTATGGCTATATAATACTCAAATTGAAGGAATTTTGGAGTAGATCACAATTATGGTATTATTTTTCAGATTTGTACCTCAGAAAATTCAAAATGGAATTTTTCAAGATGGCCGCCGCTTTAAAAATGATGGGACTTTTTCGCAAAAATCATAAATTTTTAATTCTAAACCAAAGTAATTATTATTGTTTGACATTTTGGTAGTATATTTGCAACATCTATCTATTTCACATATATTCCGTATTTTTCATCCTGACCCCCAGGGGCCATGTATGGGGGGTTAGGAAAACAGAAATTTTCGCTAATTTTTAGATCTTTCTTAAGTATAGCTTTATTATACTCAAATGAAAGGCAATTAAGAGTAGATTGCAAATATTGTATCTTTTTTCTGATTCGAGCCTCGTAAAATTCAAAATGGCTGTCTAATGTACGATTTCGCAATAATTTTTCGATCCCTTCAAAGTATGGCTATATAATACTCAAATTGAAGGAATTTTGGAGTAGATCACAATTATGGTATTATTTTTCAGATTTGTACCTCACAAAATTCAAAATGGCTGCTTTGCAGGAATTCGCAATTCTAAAATCTAAATTTTTCAATTTTAACCAAAGTAATGAGTATAATTGATTGGAATTCGGTAATTGATATTTTGTTCGTTGGGATTTGCTACTCCGCGGAGTTGCCGTTATCTAGTAATATTTATGAAATTGTCGGCTCTCTAGCAAAAACACGTAGTAGCCACTTGCGTACCGACTATTGTCGGTTCTCTATCTGGCACTACTAGGTGATGATAGAGTGCTGACAATTGTCGGTACCCTAGCAAATACCCCTGGACAGTCTCCAGTACCGACAATTGTCGGTCCTGGAGCCACTCCGTTATTGATAATATTGCGTTTAGCCATGTTAAGTCAATGTCAGGCTTTATTTCTGATTCAGGATTCATAATCAGAACTGTTGAACATGGAATTCTGTAATTGTTTTATGAAATGATTTTGCTTCAGAGCTATCAAGATAAGTTGCGGTAAACTTGCCAGATTTGCAGATGGGTGTGCAGTTGTTGAGGTAAACATATCATTTTCTAAAGTATCATAATAGTTCAAGGGTGAATGAAATCTAACTGGTAAAGGCTGCTCATGTGTCTATGACATCATTCATAGAATTACATGTATTCAGAAGTCATATTTTGAAAACAAGCTTTAAGGTGCGTACATTTCTTCATTATACTAGATGCCACTCTGATTTGAGAACAAAAACCTTTAGTAACATTTTAACTCCTACTAGGTCAAATCATTAATTGGAAACAACATCTTTGAAGCAGCATATTATATATTTAGTTTATTGAAACAACCATGAGCTTTCTCATGAAACAACATAAGCAGTTAATATTTCCAACTTCATACCAGGTGGCATTTATGTGTTGAGGCTTTAAATTGCGGTCTTTATATGTCCTGGAGAAGTGGCTTTAAGTCGTATGTTTTATTTCACTGTCTTTAGGATGGAGAAACATCAGTTATGGTTACAGCAGTAGGTAAATCTAAGCCAAGCACTGCTGGATTCCTGCCTCTCACAGTAAGTACAACCCCCACAGTTCAATCACCATTATGACACTCTTTATGATGTTATCAGCAATCTCTATAGTACAGTTGTGAAAAGAACCAATTGACTCATGTAATTGAACTTTCTCTATTTGAAACATTTGTCTACAATTAACAATTGTGTGTCCCATATACACAGGATTTGCATTACATGTACCAATATCTGAATGAAATAATTCATATTTCTTGGGTTTATTGTGTATGCAAATTTGATGACGTTTTGGAAATATCATCAAAATCAAACAAAATTTTGATTTTTTTAAAAAATCGGATACAACCTTTAACCCTCAATGAATTTAATCTACACCCTTTGAGCTATACCTGATATCCAAAACATCCCCTAATGTAATATTCACTTGATATAGGTAGATTACAGACAGAAAGCCGCAGCTTATGGTAGGATACCCACAAATTACTTAAGACGGGAACTTGGCCCTACACCACAAGAAATCCTCACCAGTCGTGTGATAGGTCAGCTCAAACATTATTATTGTGAAGGATCAATTCAAGCATGAATTTAATTACCTTTGCCTTACTTATTGATCACCTTGTATATTATTTTTAGATCAGTGTGTAGTGTAGTGTAGCAAAGAATAAAAACTCCCCAGATTGTTACAGTACATGATATTGCAGGGATAGTAAAATTGAATGCACCCAGCAAGAATTAGTCTTTATACATATATGTTTTTACACATTGATGTAAATTTCAATACTTATTTTTTTACAGATAGATCAGTGCGACCTTTGTTCCCAGAGGGTTATTTGTGTGAGACTCAGGTATACATTTTAGTCATATTCTGTTAATACAGGGTGTCCAAAAATAAACAGGACCGTAAGAAAGTTGAATAATACGGTCAATTTTGCATATTTTGCCTTGAAATTTTAGAATTATTATATTTAGTTCATTCAATGTGAATTTTGTTCTGTAAGTTTCATGATAATCTGTCAATTGTGTCAAAAATTACAGTACTTTACAAAACAAGCTCAAAGTGGGCACTTCTCTATACACAAACGAATACTGTGAACCAAGTTGTTAATGCCCCTAACCTATACACTAACCTATACATATACAGATTTGCTTTGAGAAATCCCCAAAGATAAAAATCCGGGGGATTTAGATCTGGCGGATGAGCTGCCCGTATGGTTTGTGTTCTGCGACTGATGAGCTGACCACCAAAGCATTGCCTAAACCCTTTCAGCATATCATTTGTAGTGTTAGGGTGGTATTGGCTTGTTGAAACCACTGCTTTTCTCCCTAGATGTCCTTTCTGGTGCTTAGTGACCTCCAAAACTTAGCGAGAACTTACTGGTCCTTGTCATCAGTCATCTTCGAACCAAAAAGGACTGATGATTCCATGTTTCCTCATTGCCACCTAGGCAATGCATTGTTCAGAATGTAATGAATGCTGTAACATTTCATCAGGAGGATGTAAGCCCCAGTTTCAATTGATCTTGGAACAAACTTGTCCATTCAGAAAGATATGTGTGGAGGAAGATCATCAACAACTTTGTTCGCCTGATTGAATTGCGCATAGAGAGAAGTGCACATTTGGAGCATGTTTTGTAAGCAATTGTAGATTTTGACTCAACCCGCAGATTAGTATCAAACTTTCACAACAAAATTCACATTGAATGAACTAAATAATTCTGAAATTTCAAGGCAAAATATGCAAAATTGACCGAGTTATTCAACTTTCTTAAGGTTTTGTTTTTTTGGACACCCTGTACTACAAGTTATTCGATGATGTAAGTAAAATATATTTAAATGTTTAGTGCATACTGCATACAGTACAATACTGTACCATAGAATTCAGTTAAGTACAATACTGTACAGTACAGTTCAATACTGTACAGTACAGTTCAATACTATACAGTACAGTTCAATACTGTACAGTACAATTCAATACTGTGCAGTGCAGTTCAGCATTGTACAGTAAAATAGAGTACAGTGCAGTACAGTATAGTACACTGAGTACAGTACAATATGGTACAAAAAGGTTGTTTTTCAGCTGATGTGCAATATCTTGGCTATTGATGGGATGCACGACCCTGCTGTGGCAGCTATAAATGCTGCATCAACTGCACTTGCTGTCTCAGACATACCCTGGGATGGCCCTATAGGTAATTCTACTTTCCCCCATTATACTTTTAGCATGGTGTTTGGAATGAATTTTTTCATCAGGTTGGCGAAACATATTCCAATTTTCCACGATCTGAGCGATGGACTGCAGTTTCAAATGATGATATGATTGATATTTTAATGTTTTTCAAGAACTCAATAGTCTTACATCATGTCTTTGGACTCAACTATCTCCTTCCCCTTTATTTGTAGAGGTTATATGTGGGGGTCACAGAGACTTGAAGAATAATGTTGAATTATAATTGATTTATTTGCCATGTAGGTGCAGTGAGGGTTGGATTGATAGACAATGTACCTGTGATCAACCCTACTAGGAAAGAGCTACAACATAGTACATTAGATATGATAGTGACTGGTGCACTGGACCATCACGTGGGTGAGTCAGCTTTGTTGTAATGTATTGTGCCATGAAGAGTTGAATCATTATCAATGCTATTAATGCCATGCTGTGTCGTGTTAATGCCATTTTAGTGTCACGCTAATGATGACTTTTCTAATACAAGCATTTTGTGGAGTTTGTAAATGGAGTTTTCATTGGCTCAATCTTTTAACCGATATGCCCAGTTTTCTTTTTTTCTAAATGATACCCCTCATACCCCTAATGATGATGAAGTCTTCTTTCAGTTATGCTAGAGGCATCTGCCAAGAATGTTCCAGAACAGGACTTCAGGAAGGCTATAAAGAAAGGAGTCAGTGCAACCCAGCATATAATACACAGTATTAAGTCTCTCCAGTCACAATGTGGCAAGAACAAGCGTACACTAGATGTCACCACTTTAGAGAATGAAGATGAGATACGAACTGGAGTACAAAGGTATGGATGAATTAGACTTTATTTTCAACTCACTTTTTTGCAAATACAATGTCAAATCTGGGTAATGGTAATTGGTAGAGAACATAGGAGCATTATCGAATGATCTTCAATAATTCTTTGTTTTATATGAATTCTTTATTGAAACTTTAAATTCGACAAATCATGATAGGATGATATACAGTATAGTGTTACAAAGAGTCTAATATGACAATGCCCCAGATTTTCACTTGATGCCAATGGTTTGTACGGGAATGCCCTGTGGCCAAGAATGTCCCTATGTACTCTAATGGAATCATGAAAATAAAGGCAGACTTATTATGTCACCACGAAAAAGTGGTGACATCTTGTTATGGTCTCTGTTTTTTGTGACGTTGGATGGTGATTGGCAGTTGGCGTCTGTAACAAATTCTTACAACTTCCAATAACTTAACAAATACTGTTTAGACTGACTTCACTTTTTTCAAAATCATCTACAAGTTCTCAGAAATTCAAATCTAACTTTAGATTTGAGATATGACCTTCAATGACCTTCTCAAGGTCAAAAATGTCTTATTTTCAACTTGCTTCAAATTGAGCAAATTTTTTTCAAAATCATCTACAAGTTCTCAGAAGTTTTGTTCTCTCAAATTAAACTTATTTAAATTGAGAACCCAATGCAATGTTTATATTTCTGGTGATCATTGTGGTATTTTGTTCAAACTCCAATTATCTTTTTCAGCTTGTCATCAAATCATTTGAGAGATATTCTCACAGATTTCACACATCACAAGGTAACAAACTGACAACAGAATGGTATATCCATTATCCATGCAATAACATTTTTATGTTCTATTTCACCAACATTTATCTACACTTTCATGAATGCTTCATCTTTTGTGATATGAACTGAATTTTGGCAAAATTGATGAATTTTGAATTGAACTTTTGCCATCTAGATATTGATTTGCAAGCTACAGTTTGATTTATTAGATGCTTTTATAACTCTCAGAAGTTAACTTTCGGTATATTTCTTATAGATATCCCGAGACGAAGCCGTGTCAGAGCTTAAAAACAGAGTGATTGAAACAGTTAAAGGTAAGCAGCGAGTTCATATTGTAAAAAAACTATGTATAAGCTATGTATAAATAGATTTTTATTCATGTTGGGTAAAATTAAACAAGAAAGGTGAATAAAGATATTTAATTGGTAGCTAGCAGAATGCATCAAAATAATTTCAAAACTACTTGTCAAAATTACACACCAAGCATCATTTAATTTCTTCATTTATGAAAAAGTCAGCTGTCCGGATAAAAACTAACTGACTCTGGGTCTATTGGTTGGTTTAGGTTGCTCACTGTTGACTGGTCTTGGCTTAATTGAATTCATTAATAATGCGAAAATATAACTTCATTCCAGAGACTTATCCAGACGTCCATCCATCCGTACTGTCAGATGTATTCAGTGCTGTATGCAAGCAAATATTTCGCAATTTAATATTGGATGAGAAAATAAGGTATTCTGAAGTACTTCCATATGTCACAATTAAACATTTTTAATAATTTTTTGACAAAAAGATATTTGTTCAAATGAAAATATCTAAGTCTTACATCTTTGCTAAAACAATGTGGTATTTTTAGCTCACATGGTGAGCTTTTGCAATCACTCACTATAGTGGCACGTTTTAAAACCTCTGTCGATAGGATTCCTGTTTTAAGTTATTTCTGTTCAACATCAGTGCAGAAAACTCCCCTATGACTCCTGGTTCAAAAGCTCGCCTATTTTGAAAATGGCCGTCACTTTTGTCTCGCGAAATTCACTTTTGACCGGCACGTTTTAAAACCTCTGTCGATAGGAATGTCAATGTAAAGGGTAGATATATGAAATAATTTTTTTACAAAAAATCAGCGAAAAATTATATCCATTTTTTTATTTTCAGCCATTTTAGTTAACATTGATTTGTCTATCTGACTCGCGAAATCAACCATCCGTCAATAACAGTGGCACGTTTTAGGATTCCTGTTTTAAGTTATTTCTGTTCAACATCAATACAGAAAACTCCCCTATGACTCCTGGTTCAAAAGCTCGCCTATTTTCAAAATGGCCGCCATTTTTGTCTCGCGAAATTCACTTTTGACCCATTTCCTAGCTTTACAAATAATTTCAAGTGTCCTACATTGTAAAAATCCATGTCAATGTAAAGAGTAGATGTATGAAATAATTTTGTTACGAAAAATCAGCAAAAAATTATATCCATTTTTTTTTATTTTCAGCCATTTTAGTTAACATTGATTTGTCCATCTGTCTCACAAAATCCACTTTTGGACCATTTACCTTAAACCCTCTGTCGATAGGATTCCCGTTTTAAGTTAATTTTGTTCAACATCAATACAAAAAACTCTCCTATGACTCTTGGTTCAAAAGCTCGCCTATTTTCAAAATGGTCGCCATTCTTGTTTTGCGAAATTCACTTTTTGCCCATTTCCTAGCTTTACAAATAATTTCAGCTGTCCTGCATTGTAAAAAGCCATGTCACTGTAAAGAGTAGTTGTATGAAATAATTTTGTTACAAAAAATCGGCAAAACATTATATCCGTTTTTTTATTTTCAGCCATTTTAGTTAACATTGGTTTGTCCATCTGTCTCGCAAAATCCTCTTTTGGACCATTTGCTTAAAACCTCTGTCGATAGGATTCCAGTTTCAAGTTATTTTTGTTCAACATCAATACAAAAAACTCCCCTATGACTCCTGGTTCAAAATGGTCGCCATTTTTGTCTCGCGAAATTCAATTTTGGCCCATTTCCTAGCTTTACAAATAATTTCATGTGTCTTGCATTGCAAAAAGCCATGTCACTGTAAAGAGTAGTTGTATGAAATAATTTTGTTACAAATAATTTGCAAAAAATTATATCCGGTTTTTTTTCAGCCATTTTACTTAACATCGATTTGTCCATCTGTCTTTCAGTCAGCCTAAAATAGTGGCAAGTGGCTTGAAATAATTTTGTTACAAAAAATCAGCAAAAAGTTATATCCGTTTTTTCTGTCACCATGTGAGCCCAGAACCCACGGTACCAATTTACCCTTCTTTGGTAATAATAGATTTTTTTATAGAAACAAGAGAAAGTCTTTTATCCATGAGCTGATATGCTAATTTGATCATGCTATACCTTAGGCAAGGACATTTGTACATTGTGGGGACAAGAAGAAATGTTGTTTTTATCCATGAGCTGATATGCTAATTTGATCATGCTATACCTTAGGCAAGGACATTTGTACATTGTGGGGACAAGAAGAAATTTGATGTTTGATAAATATGTGTTAAAATGTGAACATAAAGAAACATGTTTATTTGAAGGTGTGATGGTCGTGGTATTGGAGACTTGAGGAAGATATCATGTGGTGTAGATCTGTATAAACCTCTACATGGTTCAGCTCTCTTTCAGAGGGGCCAGACACAGGTACATTATTATATAGGGTTTTAGAGTCAGAGGTGTTGGATATTCGGTTTATCCTGAGGTGGAGATATTCATTTCAAGGATTAAACCAACCATTCTATTACTGATTATAACCCTAATCTTTGGAAATTATGATTATTGGTTATCATAAAAAATAAAACTCTTAGTGGCATGAAAAATATGTATATGTACTTTAGACATTTTTTTAGTTCATCACATTCTCAATATTTTTAAACTATTTGTTACATTCTAATCCAGTAATCAAAACAACATACAAAGGGATAATTATTCACATTTGCTTTGCAATTTTAAAACTGGTTTCAAACTAATGTTATTTATTTAAAGGTGCTGTGTTCAGTGACCCTAGATTCTATTGAATCTGCTCTCAAAGCTGATCTTATAAGGTGAGAATTGATCTAGTTTATATTTACTATTCATGCAACAAGTCCCAAGTGTTCCATGTAGGAACAATATACAATGAAATTATGTACAATGTTATGTATTTATGAAATACATTAATATTATTATTATTTTACTTACCTTATCATCTAAAGACGTAAGGTTATGGATATATTCATACCAATTTAAGTTAGATTTACACTTTGTTTTGCATCGTTTTTATTATTACGGCAATGTTAGATGTTTTTTAACAAATACCTTAAAATTATCCATGAGAATCTAACATATGAAACTTTATGTTATTTTTCAAATAAAGCATTCTCTTATACTTTTAGTGGTGTCAAAGAGAAGAACTTCATGCTTCATTATGAGGTAGGTCTTCATGTACATGAATTTATTTTTGGCTCACACAGTGAGCCTATGGGATTGACCAGGTGTCAGTCCGTCCGTTGGTCCGTCCGTCCATCAACATTGGCCACATAAATTAAAACTGCTATTCGGATTGAGTCATATCCACATTCATTTTATGCATATTCATAATGCCTATTTGACCTATCATCGCGATTTCCCAAGTTCGCCCGGTTTCCGAGAAATTGCTGATTTTGACTTCAAAAAGTCAAATTTTCTGTAAATACTAGACACTTTGTTGAAGTAGAACTTTCAAATAACTTGTAGTAGTTGCTGTATATGCAACTTATGTTCTCTGAAGATTTCAAAGCTCTTGAAATTACAGTTTTTGGTGTTTACTCTATAAAATTTGACAAAAAGTAGGACTCATTTTCAGGGAACTTTCTCATGTATAAAGTCAATCATCATTGGCTGTACAAATTAAAACTGCTATTCGTATTGAGTCATATTCACATTCATTTTATGCATATCCATATTGCCTGTTTGACCTATCATTGCCATTTTTCAAGTTCGCCCGGTTTCCGAGAAATTGCCAATTTTGACGTCAAAAAGTCAAATTAATTGTTATTTTTCAACTTGCTTCAATTTGACCAAATCTTTGGGGGAAAATCGTCTACAAGTTGCCAGGGCCCCGTTTTTGTACCGTTCGTAGTAACGAACGTTCGTAAGTCCATTGTTTAATTTGCGAATTTCGCAAATTTGCATTTTCGTAAGATTCGTAAAGTTACGAACGATTCGTAACTTTACGAAAATAGTGACGTCATGCCTGTTTTCGTTCGTAGATTTAATACCACCTCTGACCCTTTCGTAACTTTACGAACGGCCTCTTATTTATTCATTTATATTGTGATTTGTGACGTTTTGTCATTCTAGATCAGAGAACACAAAGGGCAACACCGTTATCAACGTATTATCAACCTATTTCTATATCTATTTTAGTACTTTTCATGGAATTTTTATTTTTTATAAAGTTCTTAATGTATGACTTTGGTTTTATTATTTTGATCAACCCTGTTTGTTGTACTATCTGTCCTGACAACTGTGGAATATGACGTCAACCAATTCGTAAATCTTACTCTAAACAATTGGAAAGTTACGAATGACTTACGAAAGCGTACAAAAATGATCCATTCGCAACTTTATGAATTTGCAACTCATTCGTAACTTTTTAAATATTTATGAATTTACGAATTGCGAACGTTCGTTACTACGAACGGTACAAAAACGGACTCCAGGAGTTCAAATCTGACCTTATTTTTCAGATTTGACCTTCAGTGACCTTCGAAAGGTCAAAAAAGTTGATTTTTCAAATTGATTATTTGGATGTAAATTTTGGTCAGCTTAATCACAAAAGACCTACTGAGCTCTGAATAAGTAAAATGTTCAAGGTCAAAGGTCCTCAAACTAGGTCACAAACTGTGCTATCTAAGTTTCTCAAAGTTCGAGACTACAAATCAAAATCAATAATTTTGTTTGAAAATCAGGATATACATTCCTCTGAAGGTTCTACACTATGTGAGCACAGGACCGTGGGTCCTTCATTACATTTATCAGCACATTCTTATTTGCAGTGAAACAATATGTTAAAGTACAATTGTCATATAGTATACATTGAGTATATATTGAGACCATGTTAAAGCATTTGGATTACGAGATGTTCACAATTCAATGTTTCAGCAAATCAGTGTTTCAATATTTGAGCAATTTGAATGAAATAAGTGATTTTTTTATGAAAAGTGTTCAGATTAGACACGTTAATTTTTCTAATATGACTGTTCACCGTTCAAATTGGGAGGTGTTCACGTTTCAAGGGTTTTATAACATGGGGGTCAATGGGAGATCAAAGATGGGACCGAAAAGTGTTTAGACTAGCCAGATGTTTGAATATACAGATTGTACTGTACTGTCTTACAAATGTTTACTTCAGAATAATATTCAAGAAGTATGTTTTCTTCTTTTATGTGCTTGTATAATCATAAAGCATGAAAATGATGCATTATAATATTATGAATGAAAAAATGCAACTTGTCATATGAGATTATATGAGTTATAAGTGCATTGTACATTTACATTATGAGTATTTGAATGTATTTGTTGCAGTTCCCTCCATATGCAACCAATGAGACTGGGAGGCCTGGAGGTATTGGGAGAAGGGAGCTTGGACATGGTGAGTTCAATTTATTTAATGAAAATTTTAACACCAATAATCATTAGTAGGTTCATCACAAATGCATAAAATTCCTTATCCCATCGAACGAAGTTCGGAGGGATATAGGGAACACCTCCGTCCATCTGTCTGTCCGGGCGATAACTCAAATACCGTTGGCCCGATTTTGTTCATATTTTGTACACATAGTCTCTATGGGAGTAGAAGTTATGCTCGAGAGCCATCATTTTTACATATTTTACTATAACCTGAAAAGTAGTGGAGCGATTTTGTAAATAATTGAACCTTTGTTTTCTTTTATATTACCATTGACAGACAGATTACTGTGCTTTATTGTAAGAAGATGTCAATAACACAGTACACATTCTATTAGATGTATGCAATACATTACATATTGTATTCCAGGTGCTCTTGCTGAGAAAGCCCTATGCCCTGTGGTACCAGACAACTACCCATTCACTATTAGGCTAACAGCAGAGGTCTTAGAATCCAATGGTTGGTTCACTTCTTTTTAAACTATCCTAAGTTAAGACTTGGTTAATAAAAGGTCAAGCACAGTCAGCAAGTGACCTTGATGTTGATTTTTTTACCTTTTAATAAGAAATAGTAACTGCATTTTTTTCTGATATTTAAAGCCGCTACAAGGACTGTGAAGAGAAAAATGGTTAAATTTTACCTTTTCTGAGCTATCAGGGCGAAGTTTCTTCTTTCTTATTCCTATTTTAAAAAATGTATGCATATGGCAATATTCATCAACCAGTAAAACTGACAAATCATTTAGAATCTATAATTCTATACAAGGAGTCCCACTCATAGATTTTTTAAATTCTTTCCAAGTCGACGTCGAATCACCTAGCAGGTAAAATTGAAACTAATTTTTCTGGCTGCTTGAGTCGATAAAATCTCTGATAGTGTGAGTTTTTTTATGAAAATGTTTCTTATAGAAATCACTTAACGATTATTAGAAAGCATTAAAAGTCGAATCCAAAGCGTAATCTGAAATGAAAGTGAAAAAATATTGCGCGGACATTAGAGAACAAACTTCCAGTTTAATAAAAATGGCTGAGAGATGAAAAAGACAAAGAATTAGGGGATTTTCTTTTGCCATTACCTATCGATATAAGGTATGTGCACAAATTCTAGTTGCATACGTGGAAAATAGCTACATCATTAAAGGCTATAACACACTCAAAGCTCTCATTTTACAATAGGGCCAGGATCACTGGATACGACTCGTCAGTCCATGCTGCTACTTTAAAATTAGGTGAATGAAAGTATACCTACCTTTTGTTCCTGTAAATTGACAAGTCCTCGTAAGGTCAGCACATAATGTTGATTTTTCCTAAGTTATCATTTTCCTGATATTGTAAAAGAATAAGGTGAACCGAAAGGCATTCCTTTTATTCTAAGGATCGTCAAGTATGGCGTCTGCATGTGCTGGAAGCTTAGCATTGATGGATGCAGGAGTGCCTATAAGTGACCATGTAGCAGGTGTAGCTATAGGTGTTGTTACCAGGACACATCCAGACACTGGCAAGATCACTGACTACACCCTCATGAAGGATCTTCTGGTATGTACATCCTCCTTAAGATAGTCTGGGGTGCAAAGTACAGTAAAACCTGTCTAATCAGAATGCTGCTAGGACTACTCAAAGAGTTTGGATAAGTGAGTTCACATTTCAAGGTTTCTTAATATGTGAGTCAATAGGGGTTTCAGATTTACATCTACATCTATCTTAATCCTTAGTAAGGTCCTTAATTTTTGGACATCACACTAAGATTAGAGTTGTCACATATCACATGATATTGGTATACAATGATATAAGGTAAAAGAAAAGAGTAATATAAAAGTTACAGGTACAAAAAGTTAAAATGCCTTAACATTGTCTCCCTGGCTTTATGCATAGAGTGAATGCTAATCAAAACAGAACAGAGAGAATCAAGACTCTCTAGGCCCAAACTCAAATGATTTATACCAAAAATGAAGCCCAAATTTTCATTTATTGTATGGCAGCATTTACTTTCTAAAAGCATGGTAAGTGTATGTCGCCCATGAGAAAGTATGTCACAACGCAACAAGAAGTGTTCCATGTTGTCATTTTCTTTGCTGCACAGAGGGCGTAAAGCACAAACAACAAATGGGTAGCAACATGTTTGCAGTTTGAACATTAGGATACAAAATTGTTTGTTGAAAATAGGCCTTTTCTTACTAATATTCCACCATAAAATTGGCTGCATAACTGACCTAACAGTAGGTACAAACATAGTTAAAAATTCATACAATGAGTACATCATACTAACACTTTGGGCTCGTTGCACCTTATCCTACCACTCACAAGATGTTTAAAGGCTGATTTGCAGAGAAATTCCCCGGACTCTATTATCCTCTTACTATGATTACATGGTTTCTATGGTGAAGACAATGCATTTATATACTATTAGGTGTAATCATAGCTAACAATGTTCATGTAATAATTAAATAGTGTGGTATTAGTATTCTGGCTATTGACTAAGGTGTCGTAATAGACTTTTCCAAATGATGTCTTTGTGTTTTAGTATTACAATGGGAGAGATTTCTGAGTTGATCAAAAAATTTAAGCACCATTGAGAGACTTCAAGAAATTAAAACTGACAAATAAATTCTTGAAGTTTCAATTGAAGATTTCAATTCAAACAACTCACCTTCCATTTGAATGTGGTATGTTTTAGAAATAGGCCATCATGTCTGTTATTTAGTGAATACTTATTTCTGTTCATTGGGATTCTTGGGATTTACAGTTTAATAAGTAAAGTGAATACATTTCCATGAAACTTTTAAATCAGAATGAGTCTAGTGATCTAGATTTTACACCTAGTTGTACATTATGCAAGTTAATGTATATGGTTTGCATTAATAAGTCAGGTGAGCATTACCTGAAGGGTCAATTGTCTTTCTGCTATACTCTTATATGACATTTCCATTATTCAGGGGTTTCTGTTTTTACAACACTGGGTTTGGCTATTCCCCTAGCCCAAAATGATACTCACTAGACTCGTAACAATAAAAAACAAGATTCGTTGTTTACTTTTGTGAAACATATAAAGTATTTTGTACTTTTATTTGTTTTTTGATGTCACATTAAATTACAAACTACATTGTACGAGGGGTGATCAATAAGTAATGGACGCTTTTTTACACAGATGCTTTTTATTGACCAATCCCTTCGATTTTCTTACCAGTGATACATCATTCAATTATCTATCAACTCTGAAGATTTGAAGACAAAATATGTAATACATATTGATATATCCTTATTTCCGTGAAGGAGGTACAGGTACCCCGGGACCGACATTTACGTCACATATTCTGAAGCTATTTTAGCTTGTTTAACATGCAATGCAGTTAAATGCAGGCTGAACAAAACAAACCATTATGGTCATGAATTACCCCATTTTGTTTTGCCAGAGTTAATTTGGAATATTTTATCATCACTATGTGGTATTCATGCCACATTCATTCCACAGGGCCATCTAAATAGGTTCCATCAAGTGCTACATGTACACAATTCCTCATCCTCTTAACTCAAGATTGTGAGACAAGGCTGAATCCATTCTCTGACATGGTAGCAAGATGCAGTTGCACGGGTTGTTTTATCATGTTTAATTCACCAATGTCAATAAACCTGCGTCCTTTCTCTATAGAAATAAGTAGTATAGAAATAAACAAGTCACATGTGAGCAGATCTGGACAATATGGTGCATTGGCCAAGGGCTCAATTTTGAGGTCCAGGGATATTGTTTTCTGAACATGAGATCTGTGGGCAGGTGCATTGTCCATATGGAGTAGGGTGTTCCCTTCTCTCACCACCCCTTTCTTCCACAATGCTTTCTCAAATTGACCTGCAAACCCCTTCCATACAACACTATGACATCACAATACTTTCTGTTTATGTGTTTCCAGTCAGCAAAAAATTTCAAACAACACAACACTTGTTGCATATAAAAAGTTCCAATCTAACTGAAATTTACCAAACTGGCTAAAAACTGAATATGTGACGTAAATGTCGGTCCCGGGGTACCTGTACCCCCTTCACGGAAATAAGGATATACCAATATGTATTATATATTTTGTCTTCAAATCTTCAGAATTGATAGATAATTGAATGATGTATCACTGGTAGGAAAATCAAAGGGATTGGTCTATAAAAAGTATCTGTGTAAAAAAGCGTCCATTACTTATTGATCACCCCTCGTATATTGGATCATTTATACATTATACAGGGTTTCTTGAGAAGACTTACAATATGTTAAATACAATACACATGCATTGTATATTTTTGATATGTACATCATTGGATTGGAATAACATAGTGTCACTATTATAATATCACCTATTCAATTCAATTCACATCTCACTTATACATTAACAATGACCGTTTTGTTAATATAATAATTTAATCAAATAAACTGGTGAAACTGACGTAAACAAAATATATATGATTATCAATGAAACACAATATGAAATATGAGAAAATGCGTATAAGTATAAGCTATTAACAATGTCCATCCTTGAGGATAATCTTAATATCTAGACAATAGAGAGAGATCGCATAACACGCCTTAGTTCATGTAATGATAAAGTTGTATTGTACAGGAGAGTCAAAATGTTATGTGAAACTTCTCGAATGCTAACAAGGTAACTTACTCTATGGAACTTTTCATTGAACACTGTATAACATTTAACATGGCTTTTCGCATCTTTTTAAACCAAATACCATAAATCAAGGGATTCATCGCACTATTTGCAACTGATAAAGTGACCAAATAATAACTAAGAGATTTGTCCCAATCAGGAGAATCTGCCCTTTTAATAAGTGAGTTAATTGTTTGTGGTAGCCAGCAGAGCAAGAACAACCCAACAAGAAGAATCATCATCTTAGCAATTTTATTTTCATTACGATGTGCAACCGCCATGTTATTGTTGAACCTGACCAAATCAGAGTTGATCTTTGCTCTATGCTTTGCTGCTACTATGGCAACAATGGTATGTGACATTACACTCACAAATATAGTAACGAAAACATGAATTTTCAGTATGGAGAAAACAAGTGGTGAAATAACATATTTTGTACGGCAAGTTTCATTTGCTTTAAATTGAATGTTGCCTTCTGAAAATAAATATGCAGAGAGTGAGATCACATATACCCAAATACATAGGATATAAACCATGACTCTTCGATGGGTTAACATACTTCTATATTTCAAAGGGTGCATGATAGCAATGTAACGATCCAAGGCAATTCCACAAATGCTCAACAAAGATGCTCCTATTGACATAACATGTAAATACAAACGTATTATACATGTCCATTTGTCATGTTTGTATTCACCAAAAGTGAGAGGTTTCACATAGAGGAGGTCAATTGTGAGCGGGGATACAAATAACCCCATAATAAGGTCTGCAACTGCCAGACTGGTTAAAAAACATGTTATTTACAGTATGTAAGTTCTTATGAATCAGAATACTGATCAACACGATGCTATTCCCTCCAACGATAAGAACAGCAATTATGGATTCAAACACAGCATGAGCTATAAGGTAATTCCTTGGAAGTACAGGTGAAAGTCTGAATGTTTCAGTCACACCTGTGCTACTATTCTCTGCAGATAGTGTAGATGCGAGAACTTCAGTTGTCATATCAAGTTTGTCATCAATCTGGCTTCCGTTCATAATTATAGTGGATTGTCCTCTGGTAGTTACTGATGAAACCAAGGGCTGGGGTGGATGTCTTGTATTTATTTTTGAAGGTATCTACAAGGATATTTATCAGTGACATTTATCGTACATACATATTGAAAAATGCATCCATTTTACTCTGTGGGTGGCAAATATATTGCATTACTTTTTTCTTTACATTTTGAAAAGTGATATATTGAGGCCATGTTCAATTTTGACTGTCAGCTAGGAAACATAGTAGTTGTACTTGTCGTTATGATAACAAGAAAGTCTATTAAACTTAAAATGTCTTAACAGATGCAAGAGGAGAGTGGCAAGAACGTATTAGGTTTTGGCAAGGATCAAAAAATGAAAATTACAATGTCAGTGTTTTCATTAGGGTCTGAAAAATGTGGGTCCCTGAGACCCCACATTTTAAAAAATCTGGGTCTGGGCTAGAAAAAGTGGGTCCCAAAATATAATGACTAAAAATTTTAAGTTTCAGTTCAGTTTATCATAATTTCCACTCCAAAAATAGTAATTTTCTAACTAGGTTGAATGATTCTGATGTTGGATTATGATCTGGGATAGTTGGGATTTGTTTTCCTTTTGGCTGGTAAACAATACATGTAGGCTACTCCATGTACTTAGCTGTTTTTTCAAACATTTTCCTATCTTTATTTCTCTACTATGAGCTCATATTAAATATTATAACTTATTATAGTCATGTGATCAGATCAAATTTAAACAGGTCATGTAGCATAAACATTCAAATTTCCTGCTTTACAAGTTTGAATTAGCTGTTCCATTTAAGAGTGTTCCTCCATGAATAATTAAAATTATAAATGGGAGTTGCAAATTTCATAGGAGGGAGGA